CATCTGGTGAAAATTTCATGTCATTAGCACCTCTAGTAATATATGTACTGAGAAAAATGTTGACGTGTTCAATACTTATTTTACCCGCTGTATGGTCCTATGACGTGGTAGGGAAAAATTAAATCAACGTGTAAGCATAAGTCATGGTACCAACTGGATGGCTGTTTACAATGCACACAATTTCCGGTTAGGTTCCTAAAATTTTAAACTTCCAACAGAGGCCACGCCTCCAGCAAGAAATCGCTTCTCAATAGCCGAGAGTCCAGGCCCTCTGTACGGAGCAATTTGAAGAACAAGAGGTTGATTTATTATCACCAGGCTGGAGGAAAAGGGGTAAAATATGGCTATATGAAAGAGATACGGAAATAGAAACTAAGATGGAGAGAGGCAACACGTTCGGTTTGTTTCTTGGAAACATTAAAGAACTTACAGYACTGTAAAAGCAAGCAATAAAAGATAACAAGAATAACTCAAAAACAGACCAAGAACATTGATAACGTTTACAAAAAAGAGGTAAAAATGGTTCATCGTCAACAAGATGACAGCATAAGCTTAAGTACTATTCAAAGCATCTGTTGAATGTTTACTGTATGTTTCTAGGGTGCACCAATTTGTCGGCACAGATTTTCTTTATTTTGGGAAACCGAAGATCGGCTGATACTTAGATATGATAGGTGGAAAAGAGCTTATCTACCTCCACAAAGGTCTGAAAATCAGCCACTGTCCCGTTTTTGCTCTGCCGTGAGCACTACCTAATGTCCAGTTAAAACAAGTTTATATTGTTTCAAGGGCATTGTTCAGTGCTTTTCAGTAAAATAAGATTTGATAATTGAAGGTGTATTGTGACCGTATAACACTTGACAGTGTCTGTTATAAAAAAAAAAACTGTATTGGCCAAAATCAGAATCAACAGGTCCGACTTTTTTATTAAAGATTGTTGATTGGTCAGAAAACTGCAATCAGTGCACCCCAAATTTTTTCATATCGCAATGTCTATCGCAAGGTTAAAGAAAATCGCAATGTTCTTTTTGTCCAATTTCGTACACCCCTACCCAGAACCAATTAAACCCCCAGTGACATGTGAACCTGAAAAATAAACACGCACACAAGAAGCCATGGAGTAGAGCCTGGGGTGGGGGTGGGGGGGGGGGGGGGGTTGCAACACTTGGAGGCCCCTCCCCTAGAAAATCGCCTTCCCGTGCACCTGCTCAGGGTTGTTCAGGCATGAAACGTTTCTCCTCCGTGCTTTCAGCAGAATGGTGTTTTTGCCATTCAGAGCTGACAGATAGTTTGTCAAACAGAATCCTGCACAGTCCCTCAGTGTCTCTTTGGAAACATAACTAAACACGAGCTTTTGCACGAGCCAAGGAAGACTCGACAGAAAAGTTTGGGCCGTATTTGTTATCATTCCCATTCAGTTTTTGCTACAGTAAAAAGAAAAGAGGAGGAGTTTGGTTCCTCAGACAGGAAGCGCTCTTGATGGAGAAGTGTTGAGCAGGCAGGGAGATGGTATCTGCCTCGCTCCGTTTATCAGCTGCTTTTGTTTCAGCGATGTCAAAGTCTTTCCCCGAGGGCCCTGAAAAAGAGAAAACAAAAACGACAACAAAGG